ATACGACAAAAGGCGGTTCCTATCCCAAATCGTGTTGTTCGTCCTTGATTTCCTTAGATTTTATCATGGCCTAACAAAAACAAGAAAGCACAATGACGACAAGATGAAAGTTTTATAAAGCAAATTAATCGACCAACGGGCCGAGTAAAAACTAGAAACGATTGTGAGATGCTCATTTCCCGAAAATCGACGGGATATGCGATTTTTTATTCGATTTTCTGGAATTCGGTTTCTATAAAACTTACTCCACCCCATCATATTACCAGAAACAATATTGTTTCACAAGGTAACATGTACTTGATTTTGGTTCATAAGGCCGATTTTTGATTCATTGCATCATTCATGTCTCTTTCCTGCTAAAATTCACTATTTTTATCACGAATTTCCAAAAAAAAAAAAACAATACAACAATAAGCTATACACCCCATTATATTATCAAATTTTATACCTCACCTTTCTCCTCCTCTCAACTGGCCGGCCCACACTAGTCTAGATAATAAATAAAAGCCGAATGATGAAAACTGTTGCTCCATTTCAAATTTCCTGCAACGAGAGTGATTATAGGAAGGATATTTTGGTCTTCACAATTGCTTATTTTCTTATTCATAAAAAAGGCATGCACTGGGATTTGAACCTTGGTCTCTTTAAAGGCAAGCAAGGATCATAACCAATCACACTAAGTATATTTATTGTATCTATTTAAATTCAAACATACATGAACCTAAATTATGAAAATCATATGACTTTTTTAACGATTAGTTGGCCACTGAATCTCCCGTAAGTACTTATTTGGTGTTTTAATACTTTGACTATTTTAGTTGTAGTTTAATACTTAATTTAAATTTCTATCTATTTTATAAATATACAATAACCCTAAAATTGCAGCCAAATATCACTGGTTCGAATATTGCATATCGAATTGCAATATTAAACATGTAGAAGCAATATCGACTTCTTAAATTAATATTATTTTTCAGAATTACTATGGAGAAATTATATCTTTGTGCAAACTATATGAGACTGGTTCTTTTAATGTTTTAGTCGGGATAACCGCTACATTTTAAACTTCTTCATAATCTGGCATGATTGGATCCAATGATCATTATACATGATTGTGTTTAATAGGGTGGCTCATTTCACCACTTTTTGGCGTGTTAATGAATTTGTAGGACAATGACAGGTCTACATCTACACTCATCACAATCTACACATCATATAAATGTGAAATGTGAAATGAGAAAAGAGGGATTCCATTTCAAATTTGATGCGTACAGAGCAATTTTTTAGGGGTAAATTTAGAAGATGCCAGTGCGGTCGGTCTGTTGAGCACGAAAGTAAAAATATGTTTTCATTTAAACGGGCCCAAACTGTTATTTGGCCCACTAATCGTGCACCCATCGCCAATGCAGTCAAATTCGGGATTTTGATCGTAAAATCGTAGGATTTTAGGATTTTACTTAGGGATTCCGATCTTGATTTTAATATAAAATCGGTGGACCTTAAAATCGTTTAAAATCGGGACTAAAATCGTTAAAATCATAAAATAGTACCGAAATCGGGATTTTGATCATAAGAGAACAAAATAGGTGGTTTGAGCCAATTTAAAATAAGTATAACCGTTTCAGCGGAAAGGGCAATGGAATCTTCTCAGATATTTTTCTATTAGAAAAATATTCAAAAATAATAAAAATAACCAAATTAGGGTTCAGTTAATCTCTTTCCCTTCACCCCATTTAACTTATTGGTAAAACACCTGTCCTAATATTGGAAGTATGTAAGAACTAACATCATTATTAACTAATTAATTTATTAATGAATATATTTGTACCAAGCCACTAACATTACTTATTTTATTGGAGTTCAATTATTTTTAGTTTTAAATCATACTTAGTAGACGATGTCGAAATATTACTTTGAGTTAAACAACCTAGACATAACATGAAAAATAAGAGCCAAACCCATGAACTATATCCCTTCATCATGAATTATTTTGAGTTACACATTAAATAACAATTAAAATAGTGATTTTGGAACATTAATCTTGAGAATTATCTTATGGAAAAAAATCTTCTGAATTATCATTTTAAATGCTATGTGTCTTTGTGATATTAATAATTTACCTTATTAATATTCTTATATGCTATGTTCTATATGGTACTTAAAATCCTACGATTTTACGATTCGATTATACGATTTTGATTTTACCCCAGTTTTCGATTTTAGGTAAAATCTCGATTTTAACTGCTTTGCCCATCGCAGCCTCTCCAAATCTTCCTATTCTACTCGCCGGGTCATCTCCTCCACTACAAAATATCTCCTCATGTACTCAAAGTTCTCACTGAAACCTAATATCTACAACTTAGGCGCAGAGGGAGCAACCGATGGATTGTAGCGACCCCCACTATTTTGATAGCTAATCAAGAAGAGCGTGTTTGTTTAGTTGTATGGTGATTCACTTAATTAACAATTTTTATTCCGTTGACAGCCTCCTCTCCGCAATTGTATTGTGTTCACGAAGATCTGAAGGCGCAAGTGCAACAGGTCCAGGGGTAAACAATATGTATAAACCGTTGGCCAAATTGAATTGAGTCATTCTACTTGGAATATGAAGATTTTTGCTTAATTGCTTTGGTTCGTGATGCAACTATGTTATGTTTGAAGGTAGACCAACGCAAACAACAGCACAGCTCCAGGGCTATTCTGCACATTAGATAGTTGGGGCATTAATTGATAATTATTTGGGATTATTCCTACAAGTACATAATTTGGAACGTGCCATTATATTGCATTGATTAATAGTTGTTTGAGATTTTTCAAATGAGTGATTTGACATGTTAAACTCTCTTATTTTTGAAAATGGAGTCTTCGAAGTGGAATATGAAGATTTTTTATTAAGCTTGGTTTCGTAACGCCCTTATGGGTGTTTATTCTCTAAAATGCAGTTGTCTTTCAAAGTGCCCGTTGCAAATGGCAAGTCAGGATACAACGATGGTACCGGTACACGTTTATATCATTAGTAGGTAGCAGATTGTGTCCATTCTACTATATCATTTAGCTAAATACTTAGTTGTTCTTTTCAACTAAAAATTATGCTTAAATGCTGTGATTGGCCTCAGAAATGTATGTCTTTGCATTAACTGTTAATGATTGTGAGTTTTGGTTTAATGGTGAAAAGTCCATTTATTTAGAAGTCTAAATTGGGCAAACCTATTGGACAATAGGAATGCCATACATTAGTGTCGTGGGAGGTTTGTTTGATGTCTCAGGGTGTTAGATTTTTAAGAAGGTTGTTTGTTGTGGCAGAGAGTCCCTAAAGCTAGCGAGGTATTCCTATGTGGGCTTTTTCTTTGTTTGACTTTTTCTCGCCTTTTTCTTATCTCTTTTTCTATTTTTGGTTTTTGTGTGCTACCTTCAGTTGCTACGTCTTCATTTGTGAGCCATCTATACTTTTCTTATTCGGTGCCTAAAAATCATATATACTCGATTGCATAGTAGTTACTAATAGATACATTTATACCAATAGAGAGATTTTAAGTTTTATCAGTTGTTAGTTTTAATATTTACTTACATTGGTTGTTTATGTAGTTTTCTTTGTAATATTTCTCATTATACAACTAATTACTATGGCTACGTAGTTGTATAAGTGAGGGTTGGACATGATAGTTCTTAGAAGCATCAATACTTGAAGGTTATTATAATGACCAAATTCTAAAGTTATGGTTTGCCTTCAACTTGCTTGGAGCATTTCAATTATGCATCAATTGTTCTCTCCGTGTAGTTAACTCTCAGACAAATCGAAAATCTTGCTGATATGTGCTTGATTGTAGTTAAATTTAGGGTTCTACTACATTGTTGCTTTACTCTTTTTTCGTGGTTGAGTCTGCTTCAAAAAATTTAGTTTGATTTTAGAAAATTTTGCTTCTGCAGTCCTGTCTTGCCACCAACGCGTTCAATAGATGGAGACGGGAGAGGCGAAGGCTATTTTTGTGTTGTTGTTGCTGGTTTAGGGATCGGTTTTTTAAGAAGAGGGAGAAGAGAGGGGGAAAGGGAAATGCAGGAGAGGGGGATAACTCTTTTCTCCGACAAAAATGGAGTGAAGAAAGGAATTATGACCAGTAAGAATATGGTTATCTTACATAACGGTCTCTATTCTGTTTGAATTGAGCTTGAGAGGCAGTGATAAGGACGAGCTGCAACCAATTCATAGTGAGAAGAGAGCTATGAACTGTGATCATGTCTTATTTCAAGTTAGAAGATAGTTTCAGTATAAGGATTATTTAATTTGACAAGTTGTTTCGTCCATGATTCTTGGTAGTTTCAGTGCCATTCTAGCCAATGTTTAGTCTGTAATTTTTGAGAATTGATGTGCGAGTAATGACTTTCACTTAGCTTCAACTATTATGTGTGTATTTATTGGCATGTGATAGAATTCTCTTTTCCTTTTCATTGAATTCATTTTCCTACTCTAATTGTATTATTTGTACATAGGAAAATCATGCTCGAGATGGCAACTCGCTGATATGGCTGGTGCAAGGAATGAAGCCATCATTAGAATTCAGACCGACAACGGGGAGGGATGCCCAGGACTAATTCAATGATGATTGATGATGGTATAATAAAAACTGCAGTCTGCATCAGCACCAATTTCTAGGCCTAAGTAAAGGTATTCAACCCAGAACTCTGCTTAGCGCTAAAAATTGCTCTCACCCAACCTTGATCCTGTTTGACCCACTTCTGAAGAGTCAAGATATATGACTAATCCTCTCCGTTCGTATTTTCTTATTGACTCTTTCTGACCCTGTAGGTTGGGGCGAATCGGGAAGAATTGGATTAGTGGGTCGGTCCTAATCAAGTGGAATCTCAATCCCTTCACTCTCACTTGCTTTCTCTCCCATTCCACAAGTGGGTAACATACAGTAATCCGGCCAACAGGCCGGGTAATAAGCTAGTTTATATATATACACACTAGAAATGAAGTAGCCGTTCCTTCGGGATGTGATGCCGTTTCAGCTTTGCTGATTCTTGGCGGCCTGTCCGCGTACGTTCTTTAATTCCCTATGTGCCCCTACCAGAAGTCTGAAATTATGATTTCGCTTCGCCTTCCATTCGTTTCGCCCGCATTGTTCTTCCAATTTCATGTTGTACACAAGAAAATTGAGAAAAAGCATGGAAAGTTTTTCCAGATATAAATCGTCTCTCATTTCCGAGTCCAACAGAATTCCAGAACCCTAGTTCTGTAGTTAGGGTTTTCCCAATTCCTTGGGAATTCAATAACCTTGCTTTTGAAATTCGATCTCTTTCTCCCCGATTCAGATCGTGGTGATGCATTGATTCCACTCCTTCAATCGAATTCAGTCAATTCTTTCATCCGTGTTCTGAGCTAAAGCCGTGCTGATTCTCCAGAATCTACGCACTTCTTGTTTCTCTTGTGGCGGTTAATCAAGTGGTCGGGGTATATTACTATTTTTCGTGGTTCTATGGCGGATCAGGATGAAGATGACCTCAGAATGGCTCTTAGGTTGAGTATGCAGAACCCTTCCACTCCGGAGCCCATGCTGCAGAATTCCCCGCCGGAACCCAAGCGGAGCAAGCCCAGGGACGCTGCTGCTTCTGCTGTAGCCGGAGGAGAGGCCTCGGTCTCGCCGGATGATTCGAGGAGACTGCAGAGAGAGCTCATGGCTGCTGCAGCTGAGAAGCGTATGCAGGCTGCCAAAATTGCATCGCCTTCGAAGTCTGTAACTTCCAGTGCTACTGCTGTTACCGGTAGCGGCCCTGTAAAGACTGCTGATTCTGCGATGAAGGAGAAAGACGGGAGTTTGAAGGTGTGTAAATTGGAGCGGGAATTGTCGATCGAGGAGGCCGACCAATTGTTCTCTATGGTATTTGGCACCGGCGTTTCCAAGGGCATTCTTGCTCAGTGGAGCAATCAGGGCATAAGGTACGTGTTGGTCGCCTCGTGACATTGCCTAATGCCCCATGAATATATCTTTTGTTCAATATTGGTGATCACAACCTTCATCAGGGCGTTATCTAACCATATATGATATACCGGGGGTTTAATTCACTTTTTCTTGCTCTGAATGAGGCAGAACTGCACCCATGTAGTACTCACGGATGGCAAGTTGTTTTCTTCAGTTTGTAATAGCAATTTTTTATATTCTTTATTTTTGGGTGAACAAGTTGCCTACCGTGAATGACTGGCGCAATGGCTAGTTTGTGATATAGATATCTCAAGAGCTTAGATTATGCTATCTTTCTAGATATCTCAAGAGCTTAGATTATGCTATCTCTATACGCCTCTCAATCTCACTGCATTATGAAATTTACCGAATTTTTCGATCTTTAACATATGGTACTCTGATATGATGTTCACATGTTCAATGTTGGCTTATGTTTATGCAAAATCTTCTGTAGGTTTAGCTCTGATCCAGAAACGTCCATGGGCCTAGTGCAGCATGAAGGTGGGCCCTGCGGCGTCTTAGCAACAATACAAGTAATTTTCGTAAATTTTATTCATGTTCTCTTTGTCGGTTCCAGTACTGTGTGCATGGATCTTCAACTTCTGACTCGTCATTGTCATTTGTGATGAAAATGCGTTGAGCATATCATTTAGACTCTCTTGCCAAGGCTTCAAACTCTACTTGGAAGCATTTGCGGGAATGCCTGTTTGGACATTCCTCCTTAATCGGGCTACTTCCCTGATGCAACATTTCAGTTCTTCTGCTGAAATGACCTTTAGCTATGAAGCTAATCTCAGTTATTAGATCTGGCTATCATGCATTTTTCTATTCCATTGTTTCGAGCTAATTTGTAGTTTATGAAGATTCTGCGCATGTTTGATACTGCTTCATGTTGCTTATCATAGGTTCTCTCTGTGCAGGCGTTTGTTCTCAAATACATCCTTTTCTTTCCTCATGAAGTAGGTAAAGTTGGGCACAGCAAGCATCAAAATCCTGGTTCCGGAAGATTGTCCAAGACTAGATATGTTGCTTCAAACAATTTTTCAATGCTTACTGAAGATGGAAGAGCAAGGTTAGCTTTTTAACTCAACTTTGCTTTTACGAGCAGTAGGCTTATTCCTGAGAAGTTTAAGGTTACGCTTTCTGACACCAGCACCAGTACTTTTCTTATAATTTTTTTATGGTGTATGTTTAAAATAATGTAGTTTAGGGTCTACTGTTAGGTTCTACTGATTGGCTGTTGTGATACGTATTCTAACTTTTAGTGTTTTACCGTCTTGTGCAGGGCCTTGGTCAAAAGTATGAGTGAAATATTGTTCCTATGTGGGAGTGGTGATAGGGCTGTGATTGCCACATTAAATAACACAGATAATGGTAAAGAGAGCTCCTCAAAAGATGAGGTAGGCTGGATTTTGGAAATTCTTAGAAACAGGGCCTTCCTTTATTTGCCTTGCACTCTTCAAGAGCCAACTTTTGTTCTTATTTTATCATGGTACTATTTTGCTTATTCATATTGCATTCTGTCTGTCAGATTATTGCAAAAGCACTTGAAAGCCTTTCAATTGAATCAGCCTCTGATTTGCAAAAGGTTCTTAGAGTCGACACATTCACAAATGAAGCAAGTGCATTGCAGAGACTTCAGGACACAATTCCCGTCTTCCGATCTCGGATGGGAGCGCTGCTCTTCCTTATTTCCGCGCTGCTTTCTCGAGGATTGGTATATTTAATGCTCATTAAGCCCTTTACTACCAGCAATATTCACTTAAAGGACTTCTAAGGAGCCTTTCTATATCACAGAATATAATAGCTTATCTGCATCCATTCATACATTATTATCACTTCAATGCATTAAAATTGTGAAATAATAATGGCACCAAGATCTTCTTCACGAAATAAACCCCACATATCTTTTAATGTAATCACCTGGCCTGTTTGCTTAGTTAGTTTCTCCGATATTATAGTGAGAACATAGAAAATGGTAAAGTAAAGTGGGGTCCAGATCAGTTAAAATTGAAATGATGTGTATGTTGATGGAGAAGTTGGTTATAAAATCAACTAAAGGTACCAACCAATTGAATCAACTCAATGGCCCAACATGTCTTTGAATCTCATGTTGCTTTTGGCTACTTGTTGGTAATTTGTTACTTTAATTTGATGATTTTTTTTCCTCTTCATTTCAGGATAACGTTCAATCTGACAGAGATGATCCCAGTCTCCCACTGGTCACGGCACCGTTTGGACATGCCTCACAGGTACATACATATTCATGAAACTGGAAATTGTAATTGAAGTTGAAATTTTCTTGCAAAGTTGACTGTTTATGCATTAAACAATTATTGGTTGGTTAAACTTGGTGATATTTATGAAGAAATATGTTAGAAACTTAATTCCTTGAGGTACTTGGTTCTGAAACAGGAAATAGTAAATTTACTGCTCTGCGGCCAGGCAGTTGCTAACGTGTTTGATGGCCGGATGGATTTGGGCGGTGGAATGTTTTTGAAAGGCATATCAAGTGGTGTCGAAGTCGGGTTTCTCACCCTTTTAGAATCCCTCAATTTCTGCAAAGTTGGTCACCATCTAAAAACCCCAAAATGGCCAATTTGGGTTATTGGCAGCGAGTCCCACTACACAGTTTTATTTGCTCTTGATACCTCTGTCCAAGATGAGAACGAGCTGGAGCAGAGAGAATCACAAATTCGAAAAGCTTTTGATTCCCAAGACCAGAGCGGTGGTGGAGGATTCATCAGTGTGGAAGGTTTCCAGCAAGTCCTTCGAGATGCCAGCATCCAACTACCGACAGAGAAAGTCGACCATCTCTGCAGCACTGGTTTCATCGTGTGGAGTGAATTCTGGCAGGCTGTTCTCGATCTGGACAAGAGTTTAGGTGGACTAAAGGATTCAAGTGGGTTGATGGGGAAGAAAGTGTTCGATCTTTACCATTTCAACGGCATTGCAAAATCTGACTTGAATGGTAGCAACAATACAGCAGCTGGAGGTGAGGCACCGGTACAGAGACCTAGGCTGACGAAGCTCAAGGTTTCAGTGCCACCAAGGTGGACTCCGGAGGAGTTCATGACAGATGTTGCTGTGTCCTCTGCTTCTGCTTCATCTGGTAGTAGTGAATCTAAAGACATGGAAGTAAACAAGCCCGAGCCCTGCCAGCACGCCCCACTTGTGGACTGCGTCAGAACAAGGTGGGCTCGCGCCAGTTGTAATTGGGCCGGGGATCCCCCCAGTATAGTCTGAACAGCTTGTGCTTTGTTCTGTTGTTGTGAAGCAAAGATGGCGAAATCACCTGAGGTACAGAAATGGCGAAATCACCAGAAGCGTGGCCAAATGTGCAGAGATGAGAAAGAAGGTAGCCTTATGCAGGTTGAAGGGGTTCCCAGCGTTATTTCTTGCAATGTATCATTGTAGCTCCTCTGTATTGTTTTTCTTTTTTTGGCCCCTTGTTGGTCAATTCCTGATTGTAGTAATTCGATTTTTCAGATGCTATAAAGGGAGAGAAGAACGATTTATCTTGTTTGGGCTCTTGGTTGTTGCACTCTGTAAAATGGGGGGTTTTGGAAAATTTAAACTGTTGATCAGTTGTTAGTCCCTTTTCGCCACCGCTGTTGTAACTTGGGAATATTACAGCACTCTGTGCAGGTCATACAATTTGTTAACCTGAAGATGTCAAAGTCGTGGATCTTGTTTTCCCGTGTTTACTACCGAAGGTTGAGAGTAATTTGTAGCACAATCTTGATCTTGGTCTAAACTGAATATCAAAAGTTGCTAATTAATTCGAACATGATTGGTTTACTGGTATTCTCACTGGTCTGGTCTTGAATATGAAGGTATTAAATTCGAATGTGTTAAGTAGTATATAATGAAACAAAACATATATCACCCCTATCTAAAAAAGTTGAAAATTGATATGTAGTAAAGCATCTTAGACAAAGTTTTACGTTGACAAATCACCAAAAAAAAAAATCCATGATTCATAAGGGTCAAATCAATAATAACTGACAATACGCATTTTAGGGTGAAATGAAAGAGTTCTTGTTAAAACTCAGAAATTGGACGTGCTCATGGTGGAGCGGGGCAAGGATAGGTGACCTCTCTGGAAGTCATCATGATGCACCCAAAAGCAAAACCTTGTGAGAATAGGCCCAAAGCATACAATATATTGGTTAGAAAAGGTCGGGATATTATAAGTGGTATTAGAGCCTTTCTGCATTCCTATTGTGCGATGGTGAGACAAATCTCAACGCGGACATTGAGTCTCAAAGAGAGTGAATGGCAGATGATTCCATATAAAAAAGTACGGGAGAGATCCATATTCATAAGGAACAACCACCTTAACTCAGAAAACACGTATTGGGGTGAAATTGAAGTCTTTTTGTAATAACTCCAAAACTGGATGTCCTCTGTGCGAAGCAGTGCAAAAGATGGATGACCTCTCGATAAGTCACCACGATGCACCATAAAGAAAAACCAATGCTCAACCCTTACTGAACACTAATTCGTGCCATTTCAATTTGATCCACATTGTTTGTGTGTAACACCCCATCCTGTACATACTGCCTAATCTAATTGTTCAAGCATTCGCAGCAGAATTCGACTCGAGTGTTACATTAATTCCCAAAATTAATCCAAATAAAATTGCAGCATAAGTGACTCACATAATGGGCTAACAGTTCTTGCAACTAACCCTGCAAAATAATTTATTTCATACTCCATATCGATTGGCATACTTACATACCAAAAAATATATACATCGGCTTTTCATAGCCGTAACCACAATTTTATACCGTAACCACATACCATACTAGTACATGTCATAATCATCATTACATACACAACCACACACATATATGCCTACTAAAAACCTATCACACCTGTGGGTGCTACACCCTACATGAAAAGCTACTATATGAACATGAAAAAGTTCTCGATTTTTTTTTTTTTTGCCAAAAGGTGTGAATCACTGGCCAAAATCCCGAGTAGTCGTCTAAGCATAGAATAGTTGAAGACAATACCTCATCTTGCCTTCAACTCCAAGCTCTGCCCGCTCCTATGTAGTTAGCAACTACTACTGTTGATGATCTGCTTATACATGGAATAAGCATAGTAGAAGAATAAAAGAGGGCCAGCTCATAGTTGAGTGATATAATCATCACATAGGGAGTTCGTAACAAAGCATACCCCTACCATACACCTAGCAATCAAGCCAAAATACTAGGATCAGACCTTAACCATCTGACATCCGAATAGGCAAAAGACTCAACCACCTTGACTTTTGCATATGCGTCTTACATATTTTAGGTGTCTTGCTGCTCCCATGCTAATAACTCTCCTGGGACAACGGACCAAACATCTCGTTGGATGTGGTCATACCAAACCCACCACTATCATTGTGGTCATATCGGACCTGACACCGCTCTAGGTGTGGTCATACACGACTCCAATCTTGGTGCATACATATCTCATGAAGGATCATCGGTCAACACCACATCAGGGTGTGACATAACATGTGATAACAGAGTAAAAGCATGGGGAGCCCTAATTATTATGTAATTGACCATGTGACCAAATCACTCTTGTTTGGCATTCCTATACATGATTCAAAAATTATCTTCCTTAATCTCAACTCATTACTTGAACATGTATTTAACCTTACCATAATTGGTCCAATATAAGTAAACCAAGAGTTGTATAATTGGGCTTCCTCAGAATAAACCCTTGTGCAAGTCGTCCTCCTTAAACATCATAATATCACCCTCGAAAATATATTTTCACACTTGTGAATCCAAATACAATAATAATGCACAATCATACTCAAGCACCTTCTAAAACAATCATAAGCCATAACAACAGTTAATCCCACAAATGGTGACATATAAGCAATCATCAACATAAACACGATCCATAACTATTAAGGAAATGCAATAATATCATATAGCGGTCCAAGATTTATCATATAGCAAAATAGTTCATATACACCTAATCATGCCATTCTAGTTCACCTATAAGTTAAGCTAAGTGCACTATAAGTGAATGGTTAACCACTAAGCATTGATGGGTCGGATAACGAAAGTGGTTTCCTATTTAGTGGGTAACCACTAACTGCATTTTGGGTGAATACCTAACCGACCCGACTATCACCTCTAACTAGGATCACTTGGGATGAAGTCCGAAGAAATTTGATTACTCATATTCTTTAAGTGTGTCCTCCTACATCTGAGTGTCTTTTCCTATTATTTTTGCGAGTTATCTCGGATTTTTTTCAATTTTATGCTTGATATTGTTGTTTAGTGCATTTCATGTCTTCATGAGTAAAATAAATGTTATTAGATTATTAAGGGTTAATTGCATTAGATGCCATTTAAGTTTCAGATCGGTTGCACATTAACCACTTAAATTCATTTGGTTACAAATAAAGCACTTAAATCCAAATTTCGTTGCACAGTTTTCTTTTCCATCCAAAAACTTAACGACGAGTATGAAAACGTAATTTTCCATCCACGCAAACATGCCAACTCACTCTAAATTTGTTTGGTTATTAACCAAAACTCAAATGGTATGTAGTGCAATTAATCCTACATTTTATATGGTCTTCCTCTCATTTCCCCTCTTTCTCTTTTCGTCTCTGTCGACGAGGAACCCCTTAGATTTGACTTCTCTCTAAAAAGACCTCTTGTTAGACCAATAATGGAGGGAGTCACTCCTTCTCCTCCACTTCCGAAGCTCCAGATCCAGCCCTGCCACCAAGAATGTTTGTAAGGCCAATCATAATCAAACTCGACTGCCCACTCGGCCAACTTGCATCCCAATTCACTGATTCTGACCTCTGCTCCACTGCCAATGAGATCTTCATCTCCCTCACCCGCGCTTCCTCCCGCAACCCCCTCTCCATCTTCGGCCGCCCCACCGACTCACCTACCTACTACCACCACCACAACCATTATAGTTCATCATATGAGCCCAAACAAAAAGATTATAAACACAAAACTAACGAAACCATCCCTAAAATAACCTACCCATTTAAAATATGTGGCACAAAAATCAAATTTATTGTCTACGTACGTTCAACATCTATTGTGTATAAAGACAACTGATTTGTCAAACCTTTGTTGCCCACTAACTCATTCATCACATCACCTGCTCAAACCAAGCCCCTTACCACACCAATTAGAAAATCATCTCCCGACCCACCGTTGCTGATAACCCTACTCCTAACCAGAATACATACTTTGTAGATTGCTACTCCATTGAGTGAGCATTGTCCTCGAGCACCACAACAATCTGACCCCTGCACAACCTGACAGGCACGGACCTGCGATCTGAAGGAGAACTTGTCAATGCAGTGGCTCTGGTGATCATCCCAAATGAGGACCCTGTTGGGAGAGTGTTGGGAGTTGGAGTCCCTACCGACGAGGGCCAAAAATGTTGCAGCAAAACAGCATTTCGGCAATCCGACTCGCCGCTTTGGATGTCCCTACGGAAGTCTCCCGGAAAGGCTCGCATTGTAAATTTGAAAGCCAGAGCTGGTTGCGGAGGCAGATCAACCATAGTCATGGTTCCATGTTGGAGAGAAACTGTGAGGATGAGAGAGAAATGTCTGGGTTCAATCAATCAAGAGGAAGTCGCCATAGCAAGGGAAGGTAGAAGTCATCGATCAAAACTATGCTTTGTACCATGTGACATAACAATTTAAACTGAGTTGGCATGTTTACATGGATGGAAAATTACGTTTTCATATTCGTCGCTAAGTTTTTGGATGAAAAAGACAAATGTGCAACAAAATTTGGGTTTAAGTGCTTTAGCTGCAACCAAATGAATTTAAGTGGTTAATGTGCAACCAATCTGAAACTTAAATGACATCTAATGCAATTAACCCATGTTATTAATCAATCACGAATGGCGATTCTAGAGTCTTGGACGTCACTAGGATCGTTTACGATGAAGTCCGGAGTAATTGGAGCCTTGAAGGTGTCAAGCTTAAACGAAACCCATAGCTGGTGAGTTTCCCAGGAAATGGGACACTACCATGCTCAGAGCCAAATCTTAGCAATTCACAAGATAAGATATACATAACTAATCAACCTAGAGTTGGAGGCATGACCGTGCCTTAGGCTATGGAAACAACCCTTCTTCGAAACAAAATCCTAACACAATCATGCTTGAGTTCGTGGTTGGGCTCCCTTTTTGTTATATAAGGATTTTTTCTCCAACCCATAGGGGATGTTTTACTGCTTTTTCATAGCATTTGAATACCTATTTTTTAGAGGAGTCCATCAATTTCTCACTGAAAGAGACGAGTGAGAGGATTTACATGCCTTTGGACTCTGTATCATCTCGTCATCTTTTACATTTAATTTTTCCATCTCTCATGAGCTCATTTCATTTGATATTTTGATGAGGTGAACCTTAGAGATGTTATTTATTATTAATTGAATGAAATATATATTATGTTAGAAGCCAAACAAGGTAAATTTAGGGTCACTGATCTGCCTGTGTCGCAGACTAGGTAGCTCTCTTTAAGACGTTCGTGATAGTGCCTCATATTGCGCACAATAGACTATTAGTCGATCGCCTTTAGGATATAACAACCACTCCTACTTTTCTCTAGTCCATGTGAAAATCATAGGTCTATGATAAACACTCTCTTATTTGTTTATGCTCAATAAATTGTGTATGTAGAGATTTAGAGAGGTCTGCTATTCATAGGAGCAGAAGCCCCCCTCCCCC